CCGGTACTCTCTCTCTCTCACTGGCCTCTGTATCTCCAGTTGCCTTGATCTATCCACTACCCTTATCCTCATCCTTTTTTCTATCACTCCTATCTGATCTTGCCCCAAATTTTCTGTAACCCCTTGCGTCCTAGTGGCTTTCCTCCTTGCTTGGGGTGAAACGCTTAAAAAAAAAAAAAGAAAAAAAAAAGACAAACGGCCAAACTTTCAAAATCTCTGCGACTCAAAGCATATTAGGACAGCGAAGCTATGAATTCGACGCCAGCGTTGAACCCTCTTCGCGCAGCGTAGGTTGGTGGTTAGTTGTCACGGAGATGAGTCGGCGGTGTTGAGACGGCGGTGTTGAGTCGGCGGTGTTGAGACGGCGGTGATGAAATGTCACCTCCCGGCTGTACTGCATTTTTGACCCTGATACTTATAAAGATAGAGCTTGATAGAGTTTGCGCTAGGGATATTTTTGCCAAGCACCGCAAGATGCTGCCAAACAAATACATTAACCCGAGAACATTTGTCATGTTAGTAAATAGCCTCGCTAGATCTAGGATCTCATGCGGATGCCATGTACCGCATCTAGTTTGTTTAGAAATGCCTAAACAATCACTTCTGTACAACAGATTTTCAGTGATTAAAATGGCTTCAAGCGAATGAATCCTTCAGGTCTTAAAGAAGATAATCTTTTATCAGACCCTATAGACTGACGCTACGCAATCAGAAATAGCTGTACCAAATGACAAAACCCGCATCATCTACAGACTTCCATAGCAACAGAATGCAAAATGGGTAAAACGTGTAAGTAGAAAAGAGAATAATGATAAATAAGATGGTGACTTTCCGCACTAACTTAAACAATTTTTTTTAATACATGATATTTGTTTATTGAAACGAGCAGATAAATTCCCAATTCAAACTTGCTTATTTACATTCTGAATTTGCTATGTTCCATTCTGAAGTTGGCTATTTCATTATGAACCTGCTTAGTTTCAAAATGACTTTGATTAGTCCCAATTGAACTTGAAATGGTATAGATTGTTTTAGGTATTGCCATAGAAGGATATGACTACACAACCAAGAAATTCAAATTCAACTTGCATTGGCAGGATTTTGCTTGGCGAAAAAGTCACCTAGAGAGTGCTAAATGTTAAGGAGCGTGAACAAGAGAAGATAAATCAAGAAGACAGTAGATAACAATTGATATTGCATCTACATTTTTGAAGATCAAAGTTAGCTGGAGAGATGAAAGAGAGTTTCACAAGCGAAAAGTGTGAGGGAAAGAAACTGTTATCATAGAGTTTTACTTAAATAATATCCTGACTTTGTTTTTACGGACATGGTTTCCCATTTCACATGTTGATATTTTAGACAAAAACAAAATACCTTTTGATCGGTTTCTGTAGAAAATAGTCCACTCATTTGCCGATTTTATGACATGATGGAAGATTATAATCAGTGTCTTTCTTCGACGGAGAACAGAATGAATGATCGTTAGGGCTGGTAAAGAAAACTGCTGGTCTATTTTGCAGCGTTAAAGATTTTAATCAGAAAACCTGACAGAGATCAACCTTAAGATTTTTTCAAGATTTCTGCGTATTTTGTTTTGTTTTGTTTTTTTTTTTTTTTGTACCGGCAGTTGTGAATTCAAACAAAGTAATATATTGACACATATTCTGGGGTAAATGACGCTCAAAGGAAATCAATTTTTGCCTGTAAGTTACGAGACGACGTTCACCTGACTCGTCCTCGACTCTCGGGTCTTCGTCTTCACTTCGAGGCTGGTCAAATGCTGGCCGCGACTCATGACAACTCTTAGCTTGATCTCCTTTTTAAATGTCAAAGTTTAGTATTTCCAGTTATTTGAAACTGAAACTCGTAACATCTGCAATGCTTCTATTCGAGTGAATCATGACAACGGCAATGGATCGTAAGACTACTGGTAAGCAGACATAACTTGACAGTTTACAAATCGAGTGATATTAAGTTGCAAGCCTTGATATTTTCTCTTGCTTACTTACAAAGAGAGTCAGTTTGAACTTTACGCACACACATACACACACAAAATAACATACACAAACACACACTCACGCACACACATATCTACGTATTGCTCAAATTAGATTGCGTAATTCAGCTTGTGTGTCGTTAACTTGTGGAACTGAAAAGAAATCGTAATAATCCCGTTTTTTTACGGGCTTGTCATTTGAAAGACGTATAAAGATCACAATGCGCGCGCACACACACACATATCTATATGTATAAATTTATATGTATAAATATATACATATAGGGGAAGATAAATGACAAAGTGGAAAAATGTTTTAGCTTGTTTCGTCCTCTCGGACGACATCGACTTGAATTTATTTACGTTGGCGCGACTGCACATGCGCACGAACGAGGGATGCTGGCGAATTTTAAATTATATTTATTTATTTTTTTAATGTGTTTTGGGTACATAATCCAGCTGATTTCAATTTCATTCTTTTTCATTTTGTTTCCATCAGTTTTGTTATTAAATATTGTATGTATATATATATATATATATATATATATATATATATATATATATATATATGAAGAAATATCAAACTGTTTCTTTCCAAAATAAATAATATATATATAATATAATATAATATAATATAATATATATATATATATATATATATATATATAAGTGAACATATATACATATATATATATATATATATATATATATAAGTGAACATAGAAGTCAACACTTAGAGGCGATAGTCTGTTTCATGCTAGATGCAATCGTCAGGCCACGAGCATGAAACAGACTGTCCCCTCTAAGTGTTGACTTCTATGTTCACTTCTCTCTCTCTCTATATATATATATATATATACATATGTGTGTGTGTGTATTTCATATTAGCCATTTTATCATATATATATGTATATATATATATATTATTATTATAAAGATGTTACATATAGACAAACAAGTACTCACGACCAAGATGCACAAAAAAATGCATCTTTGTCGTCAGTACTTGTTTGTCTGTATGCAACATTTTATAATAAATAATAAATTCCCCTCTATTCTTGATATTGAGCACTCTTTTAAATTAATGCTATGAACGTTTGAATTTATATTCTTTTTCGTTACATTTGAGTATATATATATATATATATATATATATATATATATAAGAACTAAGAACGTTATTTTAGTATGTACACATATTTGAGTTGCAATCCCTTTTTTATTTTGTTAAACAGTAAAATGTATAGTAATAGGAAATAATGTCGCACAAAAACTCCATTCAAATATATATATATATATATATATATATATATATATATATATATATATATATATATATATATATATATATATATATATATATATATATATATATATCAGGGCTTTGGTGATATATGCCTGTCCCTAGAATTTGAGCACCTTTTTATTTTACTGAGCCCTCATTTGTCGTCCGTAACGAGAGAGTCCACTCTCTCTTTCAATATATATATATATATATATACATATATATCTATATATATCTCTCTCTCTATATATATGTGTGTGTGTGTGTGTGTGTATGCCGTTAAAGACGACTGACAAGGTACTGCGATTAAGCTCTTTCATTTAATTTTTATTGTGTTCGTATTGTTTTCTTTTCTGGCCACAAAGTGTGTAAAAACGGTCCAAATGTTTTGTTTTTCCGAGCGCTTTCGACTATACTTTTAGCCATTATCAAGGATGATTTTATTTTTACTTTTTAACTGAATGTATGCGTTGTGTGTATACATTTAGAGTTATAGGGGTGTTTTATTTTCCAAACACAGCCAGCACATTGTGGCCGTGTTCGTAGTTATTAGCATTGGCCTTTTCTTTTTTTATCATTAGGACTTACATTATTTTTAATCTTTTTTTTCCCCATATGATGAGGTTATTATGCTTAGTATATTTATCTACTCGTATATTTCGAATGGAGACTTTTAGGTTTGTGTGTGTGTTTAAATGAGTTCTAATGGAGCTGTGGTCTTATAGGTGTAACGTAAGTCATCTGGATAGGTATGTAGTAGTGTGATCGATGTAATTATTTATAAGTTTGGTTTGATCAGGAACACAGTTCCTTAAGTGGCATTTGAAATCGTAAATAATCTTGGTTCTTTGTAGTTTTGATCTTGCAGGTGTGTTGTTATTTTTGAGGATAAGGTTAGCTGTTTAATTGTTTTTTTTTTTTTGTAATAGATAATTTAATTTTTTATCGGGTCAACAATGCTTTATGATATTTCTAAATAAAGATTTATAAGTTGCCGTGCATTTGGCTTTTCAGGAAAATATTTATGTTATTATTTTTATCTGTGTGTTCAGCACTGGTATTATTTATTTTGGAAAGAAATAGTTTAATCTGGTGGTCGATGAGGTAGTTAGGGAAACCATTGTTAACTAGTGTCTGTTTTGCGTTGTTGAGTTCTTTAAGGAAATGTAAACGAGAGGATGAATTTAGGAAAAATTTTTATTACCACTGCTCTGTTGTATCTGTTATGGTCCAGGTCCTTGTAGCACGATGATAGTCCAAGGTAGAACCAATAAAGAAGAACTCGAACACGGATATGGAATAACGCAGATATATTACAAACAGGAATATATACAGAAAAATAGAAAGTGTTAGTACGAATCAGGTTTAGTAGGGAGAACAATGTAGTCTCGACCAGTATCACTATTCCAATGTCTTGTAGTAATTGTCTGAACGCGACTCTGTTTCGGACTGCCTCTGACTCGACCGACTGACTGACTCGCTCTGACTGACTGACTGACGGACTTCTGACGGACCTCACTCCAGACTTCAGACTGAACTCTCTGCTTCCTCTTGAGGCGCAGTATGGAATAGTCCATTATGTTATTATGGGTAAGGTCCCATAACAGTATCAATGTGGGCATTCACTCAAAATTAAGTCAAATTATTTTTCTTCAAACGGATTTTATCAGGAAAACAGATTTCTCAAGTTTACTAGTATTGTTTGGGTTGGGCGAGGCTTACGTTCACATCACGTAGAAAGACCTATTCTCGTACGATCACCGAAGTTAAGCAACCCCGAGCCTGGTTAGTAACGAGATGTGTGACAGCATTGGAATATCAGGTATTGTAACCTTGTATATTCGGTTGGTGCAGTGGTTAAGGTCTCAAAATTTGAAATCGGGTTTGTTATATTCACTTACACATAACTGCCCTCGGGAAAGGTATGAATCCTCCTCCACTCTCTCTCCTCAGCTATGGGTTAATTAGTAGGAGTTGTATCAATAAATCCTTATTTCCAAATTATTCTTGCAATCTAAAAATGTTTTCTGGTTTTTAAAACGCCTGTAAATTTTTTCTTTAATGTAGTGTAGCAGTTCAACATCTTAATTATATCATTATTTTCCCTCTTTGCTACATGTAATACCCATTGTAGTTGTTTCTGTTGGAAATCTCCAAGTGATGTCGTTTTTGTTATTTGGTGAAGTTCTTTGTGAATTTGTAACCCTAGTTTATAGAGTCTGATAAAGCTTTATCTTCTTTAAGCGCCAAGGCATTCATTCGCTTGAATCCGTTTTAAACATTGATATGAGAAAACTGTTGTATATAGAGGGTAGTTTGGTCATTAGTTGGCTGAAGTGTCGAAGTGATTGCTGCTGGGTTAATTCCACCAGCACCTGTTTCACAATGATCCCTGGATGGCCATTGTTATGTAAGAATAAAACGTCGCTGCCGACACCGGAGTTTGAACACAGATCACCAGAGAGTAAACACATGCGATCTCATTTTGAATAAATAGATCACGTGATGGTAAAGGAAATGTATATATAGGAATTAGCATGGCGTCTAATTGATCACTATTACTATCCTATCCTCTATTACCATATGGATCGCTATTCTCTACACTATTCACTATAGTATTTCTCTATAGTGATCACTATACAGATTACTATTCGGATCATTATTCAGTGGTTACTTTTCGAGCGAGTATCATCGAGCAAGTACTATTAGTGCTAGTGATATTCGAAGGCGTCTAGCACCAGTATTGTTCAACGGCGTTACTATAGTTGTATCTGCGATTACAAAGTCTCTACTACAACGAACATTACGAAAGTGACAATGAGTATTCATTGTCATTACAAAAATGGCAACGAGTGTTCGTTGACATCACAAAAGCCATGGAATAAAACTGATCTTTTATTTGGTACTAATAAACAATGTCCTTTAATTTGTCTAATTAAGAAATAAAATAATATAAAATAATTCACAACTTTATGTATGTAGAATTATATTTTAAAAAAACATTGCTGATTATCAGTAATTAATTAAATTTCTTTTAAATTAACATAGAGCCTGATCAGTACTTAGAGAACTGATCGCGTGGGAATATCAGGGTTGTAAACTTTATGTATGGGTCGTATAATGGATAATGCATCTCGGAATTGTTAATTGGAGAGCCGTGTTTCAAATCCAGTTGGATTGGTTATATTCAATTACCCATAAATATCCTTAGTAAAGGTATGAATCCATCTTTTCTCCCCCAACTATGGGTTAATTAGCAAGACCTTTATCATTAAATCATTATTATCTCCAAAAATAAAATAAAATTATCTTAAAAAATAAAATAAAATTGCGTACATAATATTTACATTTCGACATTAAATAGCCCATAGAGTCCAAAACAAATGAACGGGTTGCTCTGATCAAAGACATGCTGTTTGCGGATGATGCTATAGTCGCAACCCACACACAAGAGGAGCTCCAGATTCTCTGAGGCCTGCAGGGACTTTAGGCTGACTGTCAGCCTGAAAAAGACTAATGTCTTAGGACAGGATGTATATGTGCCACCAATCCTCACCATTGACGACGACAAGCTGAAAGTTGTGAACCAGTTTACGTACCTCGGATCTACGATCAGCAGCGACCTCACTCTGGTCACAGAAATAGACAAGAAGATTGGGAAAGCAGCAACCACATTCACTCGCCTCACCACACGAGTGTGGAAGAACCCCAAACTCTCTGTCAAGACAAAGATAATAGTCTAAAATGCCTGCGTCATAAACACATTTCTCTACGGGAGCGAACAGTGGACGACATATGTCAAGCAGGCGAAGAGACTGAACACTTTTCCCTTGAGGCGTATCTGCCGTATCCTGGGCATATCCTGGAAGGACAAAGTGCCCAACACTGAAATTCTGTCTTTGCTCTGCTTAGACAGCGCAGGCTCTGATGGCTGGACCATGTTCATAGTATGGGGGATGGCCGAATTTGCAAAGACATCCTTTACGGTGAACTTGCAAATGGCAAGAGTGACACCGGTCGCCCTCAGTTGCCCTACAGAGATGTCTATAAGAGAGACATGAAATTCCCTGGAGATCTGCAGTGACTACTGGGATGTCCTTGCTGCTGACTGTTCTGGTGTAGAAGCACCAACTGAACAACTAATGCCAGGAGAGGAGAAACTGAACAACGCAGCAGAAGACAAACCAGCCCGCAGAAAAGAAGGCTGAAGCACAGACAACACACAAACACTTCAAAGGTGTGACTTGCGTGACAGAGACTACCACCCGCGCATCAGCCTGTTCAGCCACAGGCGGCAATGTTCCAGAGGAGCAAACGGGTGGGATCAAATCCATGGTCATTGATGACTGACAGAGGCCTTGGGCCCATCGAGATTGATATATCTTTAGGGAAAAAAAAACAACCAGCTAATTTTTAAATGAACGTATAAGAGGTGTATAAGAGGTACTTTTCTTTTTAAAAATGATTAAAAATCGGCTCCCGTGGATCAATTTTTATCTCCCAGGTTCAATACGGTAGGTTATGATTTTATCTCAGACGGCCATGTCTACCCAGTCTGTGCACGTAGTAATATTATTTCCTCAAACAACATTATTATTATTATTATTGTTATTATCATTATTATTATTATTATTATTGTTATTATTACTGTTATTATTATTACTGTATACTGTAATAATAAATAAATAGCCCATAGAGTCCAAAACAAATGAACGGGTGGCTCTGACAACTTTTTGAATATCTTCAAAGATACATTGCAGTCAGCAGGGAGTGCCATGTCAATAAGGAGGCACCGTTTTTGTTTGTGGTCTTTAATTATTATTATTATTATTATTATTATTTTCTTATTATTTTCTTTTGATTTACACATTTCTTTCCCGGGTCCCGCCTAGGACCTAAGGTTAGAAATGGCGTCATGACACTTTCCACTGACAAAAAAAAAAAAAAAAAAAATTAAATTACATAGATAAAGCCCTTCGTAAAGTGTGGGCTGTACTTGTCAGAACAATTTTTTTGTATCTCCTTTAGGCATGGACTTCCAGGAATCCCTTCAATTAGTATACTGCAATCTTTTCCAACCAGTCCTAGGGCTCCAACTACGACAGGGATTGTTGATGTTCCCATATGCCACATTTTCGAGATTTCTATTTCAAGGGTCCTTGTATTTTGACAACTTTTTGAATATCTTCAAAGATATATTGCAGTCAGCAGGGAGTGCCATATCAATAAGAAGGCACTGTTTTTGTTTGTGGTCTTTAATAACAATATCTGGCCGGTTGGCCTTGATTGTTCTGTCAGTGTGTATTGTGTAATCCCATAGAACTGTAACAGGTCCTATCTCCGTAACCGGGTCTGGGCGGTGTTCATACCATTTTCTTTCAGTTTCCTTCCCGTAGAAGTTGCATGTTATTATTATTGTTATTATTATTATTATTATTATTATTATTATTATTATTATTGTTATTATTATTATTATTATTATTATTATGATTGTTATTATTATTATTATTATTATGATTGTTATTATTATTATTAGTGGAGATGTGCTGATAGCATTCCGAATATCAGCGTAGAGTGCAATCGGCGAGCCGGGTTCAAATTTCGGGAGAGTAACTTTTACACAAATTTCTTTTGGAAATGCATGAATTGTCTCTTCTCTCACCAGCTATGAATGAAATAGGAGAGTAGACTAGGCTCACTAGTCTTGTTAGCAACCGGTCTAACAGTAGCAAAACCATGAATTCAAAGTAAAGTGTTTTTTTTTATGTTCTGCGAAGAAGAGAACAGGTAAACAATTCACAATTTTCCCCAAGGATGCATGGCAATTTGCAGATAATAAAGAAAAGGAATCTGCGGGGAGTCATGATCACCAGCATTCTGAAGGGAGATAACATTATAAAATTTATTATTATTATTATCTTACTTATTATAAAACGCAGATTGTGTGTGTGTGTCCGTAGGTTTATATATTGGATCGGATTTCCTACATTTTTCAACCGATTTCAACAAAACTTCACAGGACTACGTAAAATTACCTTGCGGTGGTTCTGACAGCGCCAAAAAATTGGAAAAACACAATTGTTTTTGCACGAAATCAATTTAAAAACACGATAAAACACGATTCCGTCGCCAGAATGAAAGGGGGACAATTCATATCGAGTTATACTTATTATAAAACCCAGGTTGTTTGTGCGTTCGTTTATATATGTGATCGGATATCCTACATTTTTCAACCGATTTCAACAAAACTTCACTTTTTTTTGGCAGGTAGTGTTTCTTATTGTCTTGCACACTTTTTTCTTTATTTTTACATTCAGAATGCTTTAAAATTCCATTTACAAGACAATTGTTTATAATAAAATTCTATTCAATCGATAGACTCATAACGTTTGAAAACAATGTTTTTGTTTGAGTTTGGGTTTGACCAATTCGTAAAAAAACAAAAAAACAAAAACAAAAACTAAGACATGCGTGTCCGTCAACCTTAAACAATAATCTTTGTCAATTTTATTTTTCAGTCTTTATGATGGTCGATACTTGATCTATCTCTTACTGTTACATCCCCGGGCAACGCCGGGCTCTCCTATATATATAGTTATATAATATAATATATATATATAACAGATGTATCATACCTAAATATGCCTCAAAACTCTCCTATCATTAATCAAAATGAAACTACAGAAGAAAGAAAATATAAAAAAAAAAAAAAAAAAAATGGCTTACTTTTTATAAAATGTTTTATGCTATGTCTTCTCATATAATCACGGAGGATATTTTTTATTATTCGGGATATCATAATATCCAACATTATTGATAGTTATCTATTTT